ACTCATCATATTGGATTATGGGTCCACCCTAATGACCTCATTGGAACTTGATTACTTCTGTAAAGACCATGTTTCCAAATAAGGTCACATGCTCACATGCTGAGCATGAGGGGTTAGAACTCCAACACAACTTTTTTGGGGGACACAGTTCAACCCATAGCAAAAGGATTTCCTTAAAAGAAGAAAAATGATTTTATGACATTAAATTCAGTAATGTTTGGAAATTTAAATGTGTGCATGCAATGAGGTTTGAAAGGATGCTTTCCTGGAAAGATGAATTCTTAAATCTGTTTCTTCAGGTTAATGATTTTTCCAATCTCTAACACTGCCTAAGAATATTTGGATTATAAATCCAGGTACAGCATATCTTTTTATAAGACACTTAAATATTTACTTTATTGTGATAACATTGGTTTATAACATTATATAAGTTTCAGGCGTACAGCATTATACTTCAACATCAAACTACCAAAAGCCTAGTTTCCAACCATGACCATAAAGTTGACTCTCTCTGCCTTTTTCATTTGCTTGACTTCTTCACCATTGAAATGTTCCTTCACTAAGGCATTACCATGCTGTTTCTGAAAAGAGGCCTTGTGACTAAGCAGGAGGAGTCAAGGGACATCCTCTGCAAGATGGCATCTATGTATTTGACAGGCAGGGAATTTACCTCAGTCTCCTACCTGCACTGTAACCATGAGGGGCTTCCCTTGGAAGTGCCATGTGAACATATTCATGCTTTTAGAGTCTCTTTTATCTTCCTGAAAGTGTATTTTTGTATCTTTTTGTTAAAGGAAATGCTACTTCCCTCTGTGCAGAAAACCTAGAATTTTTCTGGCAATTATGCAGTGATTGACATAGCTTCGTTAATTTTACACCATTATTTCCCTTTCTTTTTTTTTTTAATGTTCTTAACTGTAATTTATTATTTAATTATTTAATTTTTACATCATTGTTCATTTTTAAACAATATTTGCTTCCTCCCACCCCCTCAGGTATGGTCCCCATAAAGTTTCCTTCACCAATGCATCCGGGCACCATCACCTCAGTCCCCTGTGCTACTCCCTCCTTCCCTCCCTCCCTGTGATCCCTCTCCCTCCTCCTCCCCTGCAGGATGTCTCTGGTTTATAATTGTCTGTTTTTGCTTTGTTGTGTTTTGTACTGTTATTGTTTTTCTTTTACACTGATGTCTTATTTGGTTCCCCTATTTTCCTCCTATCAGTGAAACCATCCGATATTTTCCTTTATCCTTCTGGCTTTTATGTTTTGTCCTGAGGTAATTCCAGTGCTTAGATTCCTCTATGCCCTATAAGAGTCAGAGCTGTTGCCTGTTTCCTCACTGTGGGAGAGGTGTGGGGGCTCCTAGTTCTCTTTCCCTAGCTCAGTTTGCCATTCACAAGCCACTGACTTTTTCTCACTGCCAAGTTGGGCACACTTGTCCGGGCCCTGGGGTCATCAAAGACTTTTCCCCATAGTCTTTGATTCTGATCTACAGGTCAATCCTGCCCAGGACGTTGTAAGGGAATTGGAATTTAAGCAAAATAGGAAAGGTAAAAAGCCAAAAATTGGAGTAGATGTTAAAACCTGCTGGTAAACTTTGCAAAATATGCAAACTAACTTATTGGGAAATGGCTGAGAAAGAGATGTAGATGAGGAAGTAGGCTGACCTGGGAGAACAGACCAGAGGGTGCTCCATGTTTTCCCCACCCCACTCTTAGGAGTCAGGTTGATTTTCTGGCAAAGTTCTTTAATTCAATCACTTTTTTCATTTATTGACTCTCACAGCTAGTTTGTCAGAGAGCAGCACCATTTACTATAAAATTGTATTTTCTCTGAGTCAGGTGTTCTCCTTGACACTTGACATGAATTATTTCCCATATTGTTCACCAAAAGCATATGAAGTAAATTCCACTGTCTCCTTCTTTTGGGGAAAGGGGTGATGAGGAGGACTGCTAAAGCATGCCATTCTGTGGAAGTGTCAGGCCAGCGTGACGCCAGGCCCTCTGTGCTGCCTTAAAAATGCCTTAAAGTTGCTGTGCAGGTCAAGAGGTGAGGAAAAGGGCCCGCAAACATGGATTCAAATGCAACGCCAATGCAGTCTCTTCCAAGGACACCAGGAACCACCCCAAATCATTATTTGTATCACCTCATAGGTTTCAGATGTACTTGGAAGGCTTGTGATGCCCAGGGCACCCCCTTGTTTTGGTGCTCTGGTGCACCACCTCTGGTCCCTGTAAGCTGGTACACAGGCTTGACATGGAGCCTGGCAGAGTGGTTTTACCACCCTGGAGCAAAGCAGTACTAGAAATCCTTTAAAAGAGCTCCCAGTCTGGAGGAGGACCTGACAGATTTTAACTTTTCAATTTTACAATGATTATGCAAGTATTTTGAGTGTTAACATGTTTTTGTTATTTTTATTAAAATAGCATGTTAATTGTAAAATATTCAGAAAAAAGTCAAAATGAAAGAAGAAAATTTTAAGTCATCCATAACCCTGCCAGGCAGTCATAACCAGTGTGACTATCTTGGTGTTTTTCATTCATTTTAAGTGGATACATATATCTATTGAAGTATACATTGATATGTATGCAAATCTGGAATGGCACTGTAATATTTACTTGGTAATATCCTTTTAAAACATTTTTCATTGAAATATAATCTACTACAGGAAAATGTACAAATCTAGTAACATTTTATGTGGTTTATAACAAATATCTTAACATTTCATTAAATGTTCTTTTTTTTTAAACTAATCTCTTTTTTTAGTTTAAATTTTAAATTTAGTTTAAATTTTTAAATTTATTTATGTTTATACAAACACTGGGTACAGTCAGAAGCACAGGAGGGTGAGAGAATTCACCAGAGCCAGAGCGGGGAACAGAACAGGCAGACTGACGAAGTACACTGCTGAGGGGAGCAGCGGGCGGCAGAAGAGGTCTGCGCGCCATGTGGGACCCTCGCCGGTGGCCGGGGATCGAACCGGTGTTGCAGAGGCTGAGGGCAGCTTTGCAGCCCAGTGCTCAACCGCTGCACCACCAGGGAAGGCCCTCATTAAATGTCCTTAAGCATATTTCATAACTCAGCAGTAGTTCATTTTATGAACATATCACCTCTCTGGGAATCTTGAATTTACTGAGGCCAACAAATTTCTGACACAAATTTCAATTTTTAAGTAACTCCTTAAATAATTTTTTTTATTTAATTTTGCTAGCTTTTTTTTAATATATTTTTTTAATTTTTAATTTTTTAAAATAAATTTTATTTTTATATTCCCCGAACAATTGCAATCCCCTTATTTTGACCCCAATCCCTCCCCTCCCCGCCCCCCACTCCCCATAGAGTGTCTCTGGTTCATAGTTTTTTGTTGATTTTGATTTTCATTTTCTTATAGTTATTCATTTTCCTGGTCCCTTATTTAAGTTTTCTAGATTCCTGCTATGAGTGAGACCATCCGGTATTTTTCTTTTTCTTTCTGGCTTATTTCGCTGAGCATGATCCCTTCCAACGCCATCCATGTTGCAGCAAATTGCATGTGTTTATCTTTTTTGAATGCTGAGTAATATATGTACCACATCTTCTTGATCCAGTCATCTATTTTTGGGCATTTGGGCTGTTTCCAAAGCTTAGCTATTGTAAACAGTGCTGCTATAAACATAGGGGTGCAGGTGCTCTTTGCAATTGATGTTTCTGTGTCCTTTGGGTAAAATGCCTAGGAGTGGAATTGCTGGATCATATGGAAGCTCTATGTTTAGTAGGTCCAGAAATCTCCACACAGCTCTCCATAGTGGTTGGACCAGTTTGCACTCCCACCAACAGTGTAGAAGAGTTCCTTTTTCTCCACAACCTCGCCAACATTTGCTGTTGCTAGTTTTTTTAATATGTGCCATTCTCACTGGTGTAAGATGGTATCTCATGGTAGTTTTGATTTGCATTTCCCTGATTACAAGTGATGTTGAACATTTTTTCATATGCCTGTTGGCCATTTGCATTTCCTCTTCAGAGAAGTTTCTTTTTAGCTCTTCTGCCCATTTTTTGACAGGATTATTTTCTCTGTTGTTGTTGAGTCTCATCGGCTCTTTGTAGGTTTTTGTGATCAGTCCTTTATCATTAGTGTTGTGTGCAAAAATGTTCTCCCAGTCGGTGGGGTTTCTCTTTGTTTTTGTTATTGTCTTTCCAAATCTCATTTATTTTCACAATATCAATGCTAAACTCAAAATAGCAACGTCATTGACTGTAAATGTTAAGTGACTGAAAAGTAAAAGGCAACTTTAATTTTTTTAACCCTATGAACAGGGTCTACAAAAAAATGTGAATTATTTTACTCAAACGAGACTCTCAGCCTGCACTGAGGTAGCATGAGCAACAGAGGACAGCAAATATCACCTAGTAATGCCCATACATATCAAAATAACTAGTTGAACCATGTTCTTTCTACCTCTATAGCAAGTCTATTAAAAAACCAACATAATGGAAGCTTACACCTCATGTGACAGCATTACTATCAGCTATACAGCTACAGAAAATTTCAAACTCCACTCCTCAAATAATTTTAGTACACCTAGTAAGAATGGTAGGTCATTCAGAAAAACAAAGCATACACCGTCTTTGCAATTAAACAATTTTCATAACATATTAACAATGTTCTGATATAAATTCTCCACTAAATGTTTTTTTCTAAATATGATTTCTGTAATCAATGTTCTCTTAAACAAAGACAGTTCTTAGGTATGTGATCTGTACAAACTTACTGTAGTGTATAATCCAAATAGAGATTTTCCTCCTATTATGATATGACAATATAATTCTTCTGAGTGAAGACATATGATAAGGCTTAAAGTGTAAACACTTTGGAAGGCAAACAACTTAGTGAAGAAATTACTGTTCATTGAAAAATGTATATCATCCCAAAATGGGCCCCTGAATTTTCAAATTTACATGTGAAAATACATTTACATCTTAAATTTCTAAGAAAGGCACAGATTTTATGTAAAAAAGCAGCAAAATTTTAAACCCACTAATTTATTGAAAAAGCCATTACTTTATTAGAAACAAATAATGGTTCGTAAGATTTGGCAACAGGTCATAATATAGTTGTATATTTGATCCAGTGTGTTTCTCCCTTTAATTATATTCCAGTAGGAGGAGGATTACCTCCTTGGTTATGGCAAGCAGAAGTATTTGATGGACTGTGTAAGTTGGTCTCCTTGTATACAAACCATGCATTTCCTCCCCAAAGTATCATATTCAGAAAGCCAAAGATCACAGATACATTCAGGGATCCCATACTAGTTATAGAGACAAAATGACACGTCACATCTTTATTATGACAAGGCTGAAGTTCCTGGACAATACTGTGACCAGTTGCTATTTTAATAACTGTAAGAGCTTTAGTCCAGGCTGAAGTGCTCACCAACCACAAAAAAAGTGGCAACCAGAGTAACAACAAAGTCAATCATGGGAAATTTTCTACTCTCCCGATAGAGGTTTGTATAACCGATATAGAGCAGAAGAGCAGCAATGCAGTACAGGAAGACAAAGACTGCAAATGTAACATAGAATTGTGCAGAGGAAGAGTAATCTCCAACAAGAACTTGATTATTCCATTGTATATCACACACATTTGCTTGTGCAGTTGTCTGAAATGACGCCTGATTCAACCTGAATGGATAAGCAAAAGTGGCAGTAATTGTTTTATTTTCAGGAAATTGAGGACAAGATACTGAAATGTCTATTTTGCCCTTAAAACCTCCACAGGTGGAAAAAGCAAAGAGAGAAGCAATCCATTCGAGGACCTTGATGAAGCCGAGCGGCTCCTTGAGCGGGTTGAGGTTGAGCTGGAAGGAGGACATTCTCTGAGGGAAGGAGGGAGAAAAAAGTATTTTTGCTAGCTTTTTAAAAAAATTTTGAATAGAAGAACTAGGGTATAGACCAGAGGTACAGCCCAGAGGTGCAGAGACAGAGTTAGGTGCAGGACAGGCAGATTTACTGAAATACACTGCTGAGGGGAACAGTGGGCAAGACAAGAGAGGGCTGCTGCACCATAGGTGGGTTAGCTCCTTGGCAGGGGGATCGAGGCCACTGAGACTTAACCCCTAGGCCACCATGAAGTCCAGACTCTTAAGGTTGTTTCAGAGTAAGTCAGACTCTTAACATTCTTCCAGGGTTTCTGTGGAAACCTGTATCAAGATTCTGGGCCCTTAGTAAAAATTCAGATTCTTAAGTTTCCAATTCAACCATAAGAACGTAAGAGTTTGGAGCTCAGGAATCTTTAATCCATCTGGGAAATTCTTATGGGCACTAAAATTTGAGAACCATTAGCCTTTTGTCATTTTAATATGAGCATTCCTCTGGGGGGGTGTCATTATCTGGAATGATTAAAAAAGTAACCCCTCTTTCAAAATAAGTCAGAAAGAAAAAGAAAAATATTGGATGGTTACACTTATAGGAGGAATATAGGTGACCCAAACAAGGGATTGGGAAAAAACAGAACAAAGCAAGAAACAAAAACAAAAGTAGCAGGCAAAAGATAAATCAGAGACGTTCAGCCAGGGAGGAGGAGGGAGAGGGATCAGAACAGGGGAGGGAAGAGCGTGAGTCAGTGGTGACGTTTCACGGGCAACTTGATAGTGTTACACCTGAGAGGAACAACATGTGAAAAAAAATATAAATACATAAATACATAACCACATTGTCTCTAAAAAAACACAAAATAACTTTTTAATGGTAAGTTTCCCACACCAACAAAAGTAAAAGTAAAGAGGATAGTACATTGAAATTGTATGTAGCTACTATTGAGCTTCAACAATTACCAATTCATGGCTATTTTGAAGGAGATATAATTGACATATAGTATTCTACAAGTTTTAGGTGGACAACATAATGATTTGATATATGTATGTTCTGCAAAATGACTACCACAATAAGCTTCATTCTATCACCATCCATAGTTACATTTTTTTTCTTATAATGTGAGCTTTGAAGATCTACTCTCAGCAATTTTCAAATATACAACACATTATTGAATTCATGGCTAATCTTATTTCGTCTCTATCCTTATTCATTCCTCTCCTCCCATATTCTTCTGAAGCAAACTTAGATAAGTCTTTTCATTTGAGTATTTCAATAACTGTAAAGGGTTAAAAATATTCACAATACCTAAAATTAACAAAAATGCCTTTCTATAAATAAATATCCAATATTCTCATAATTGTTTTTACGGTTTATTTGAAACAAGGTTTAAATAAGAACTATTGTGATTTACTCATATTTCATGAGTTTCTTTAATGGCTAAGCTCCTCCTCCATGAGTTTTTCTCTTTTTTCCCTAAAAATGTACTAATTTTTATCTTGTGAGCTTCTCTGGACTTTCTTAATTGCATCACATGGTGTGACTTAGTAGATTCCTTGGTCCTTGGTATTTCCTGAAATTTGTAATTACATATAGAGGTTTAAGCAGCTCTGATTTGATGCTTTCTCAAGACATTCCATGCAAACTGATGGTTCTTATCTCTGGTGGCACAAAATATCTGGTCACCGCTTCTTTTGTGATATAAGCCATTGATGCTCAATGATCAAATCCATTAATATATCTACGCTGGTAAAACAATGAAATTATATCACTTATTCTTCATATGTTAGCTAGAATAGTTCTATAGCTGCTACTTGGTTATTTGCTGCTACAATTCACATGGGAATAAAAGGGCAAGTGCTTGCTTCTTTATTTTTACTCTCTACTTATTTTTATGTTCTTCAATGACATCTAGTCTACTTAACGTGAGGTTTTGTGGGGCTGAAATATCTTAAGGGGAGAAAAGTCAGGTAGGTCACCTACTCACTGAGTATTATTACATTAGGCAAGTAAATTTTGCCTCTTGGAACTTTAATTTTCTCCTTGTAAAATGATCATGATGAAAATAATTGTCTCATAGGGTTGCTATACAGACTATATGAGATAATGTCTATGGAAGTCTCTGCAAACAAGAAGAGGCTCTAAAATGTCATAATTGTCTGAAGCTCAATTTTTTCCCCTTTCAACCTTGGGGGTGCCTGTTAATGATTCTTCTACACCTGTGATGTTCAATATAGTAGCTACTAGCCATGTGTGTGTTTTGAACAATTAAAATGTGGCTAGTCTGAATTATATTTGACAAGTGATGGTAGTTAAAATGTACACCAGATTTTGAAGACTTAGTACAAAAAATGGAAAGTAAACATCTCATTAATAAACTTTCAATATTGACCACATGGTGAAATAATAATTTGGGTTAAGTAAAACATACTATTATATTAATTTCAACTTTTTCTTCTTTTTTTTTTTAAGACTTATTTATTTATGCATAGAAAAACTGAGGTACAGGCCAAAGGTATGGGGGGTGAGAGTATTCACCAGAGAGAGTGGGAAGCAGAACAGGCAGATCTACTGAAATACACTGCTGAGGGGAGCAGAGGGCGAGAAAGTAGAGGTCTGCTGTGCCATGTGTGTTAGCTCCTGGTCTGAGATCAAACTCAGGCCACAGTGGTAATAGCATGATAATACTGAGACTTAATCCCTACACCACCAGGGAAGACCCACCTTTTATCTTCTTAATGTGACTTAAAAACATTCAATTGGGGCCTCCCCGGTGGCGCAGCGGTTGAGCGCTGGGTTGCGAAGCTGCCCGCGGCCTCTGCGGCGCCGGTTCAATCCCCGGCTGCTCCCCGGCCACCGGAGGAGGGTCCCACATGGCGTGCAGACTTCTCCTGCCGCCCGCTGCTCCCCTCAGCAGTGTACTTCGGTCCTTCTGCCTGCTCTGCTCCCCGCTCTGGCTCTGGTGAATTCTCTCACCCTCCCGCGCTTCTGACTGTACCCAGTGCATGTATAAACAAAACAAACAAATAAATAAAGCATGCCTCTATAAAAAAAAAAAAAAAAAAAAAAAAAAAAAAAACATTCAATTGTATATGAGATTTATATTATATTTCTATTGAATAATGCTATTCTAGAAATCTTTTCAATAAAATACATGAATTGAAATCCACAAATTAAGAAGAATGTCAACAAAAAGATAATAAACCAATTTATTTTTTTAATAATTGTTTTTAAACATTCTTGTTTATTTTTTCACAGCATAGGATTTCTACTCAAGAGAGGTTACCAGAGTTTCCTACCACTGAAGTGCGCCTCAGTCCTCCACCATGCTCCACCACTTTCTCCTATCCCCCCTTCTCTACTCTCCTCCTCTCTCTCCTCTCCTAAGAGTCTCAGATCTATGGTCTGCTTTCAAGGGTCGGTTTTACAGTTTGTCTTCATCCGTTCCTTTGTTAGGTTCCTCCAGATTCCACATATAAGTGAAAACATCCAATATCTATCTTTCTCCTTCCAGCTCACATCGCTTAGAATAATCCCTTCTAACTCCATTCATATTACTGCAAATGTAAGTTTATCTTTAATGATGCTGAGTAGTATTTCATGTGTGTGTGTCCACATCTTCTTGATTTACTCATTCTATTCTGGAACATGTAGGTTTATCCTATATCTTGGTTATTGTAAACAGACGTGCTATAAACATAGAAGTGCAGGTTTCCTTTAAAATTAGTGTTTTTGTGCTGGGTCATAGGGTAAATCCCATTTTTAATTTTGAGGAATCTCCATCCTTCTTCCATGGGGCCTGGATCACTCTACATTCCCATCAAGAGTGTGGAGGGTTCTTTTTTTTTCCACATCCCCATCAGCACTGTTGTTTGTGGTTTAATTGATATAGTCTGTTCTCACAGGTGTGAGGTGGTATCTTGTTGTGATTTTTGATTTGCATTTCCTTGATGATAAGTGGCAATGAACTTTTTTTCATGTTGGCCACCTACATGTTTTCTTTGGAGAAGTGTCTATTGAACTCTTCTGCCTATTTTTTGATTGGGTTGTTTTCTTTTGGTTGGTTGAGTTGGTAGATTTTCAATATCAATCTCTTATCAGATATATTTTCTCCTATTCAGTAGGGTGTCTTTGCTTGGGTCATTGCCTCTTTCATTGTACAAAGATTTTTATTTTGATATAGTCCCAGTTGTTTATTTTCTCCTTTATTTTCCTTGCTGCAGCAGATGAATTTCCAAATATCTCTCTGAGGTTATATCATGGAGTGTTTTGCCTACTTTTTTTCTATGTATTTTATGGTTTCAGGTCTTACATCCAAGTCTTTTCTCTATTTTGAGTTGATTTTTGTATAAAGTGTAAGTAGTGGTGTGGTTTCATTCTTTTGCATGTTGCAGTCCAATTTTCCCAGCAGCATTTATAGAAGAGATATTCCTTATTCCAGTATATATTCTTTGCTCCTTTGTTGTATATTTGCTATTTATAAATGTGTGATTTTATTCCTGGTCTCTCAATTCTATTCCATTGGTAGTGTGTTTGTTGTTTTAATCCAGTATCATGCTGTTTTAATTATTATGGCTTTATAGTATAGTTTGAAGTCCAGGAGTGTGATACCTCAATTTTCCCAATTGTTAGTGAGGAGATATTAGGCTACTTGGTTTGTGTGTGTGTGTGTGTGTGTGTGTGTGTGGCTCTATATGAATTTCAGCAGTCTTTGTTCTACTTCTTCGAAAAATGCCATTAGTATTTTTATTAGAATAGCATTGAATCTATAAATTACTTTTAGTATTACGGCCATCTTAACACTGTTGATTCTTCCAAACCATGAGCAGGAAGTGTCTTTCCATTTATTTGTGTCCTCTTCTATTTCTTTTAAGTTTTATAGTTTTCCTTCTTTGTTAGGGTTATTACCAGTATTTTTTTTGTGTGTGTGAGACTGTAGAGAGAATGGCTTTCTTAATTTCCTTCTAGTTCATTGTTCGTATATAGGAAGACAACTGATTTTTGTGTGTTGATTTTGTA